AACATACTGTTTCACAATCCCCTATACCAGAAAAAGGAAAGATAGAGCAGAGTTCAATAACAGCAAGATCCAGAAATTCACATCTATAATCATCTTCCTCCCCTCTGGATCTCCTTTCCTGCTCCCTTTCCTTTTTCCTCTTTGCTCCTTTTTCTTCCTCTGCCCATTCTCAATGCAGGGTAGCTTCATTTTTTCCCATTGTAAATGGAGCTTTTGAAGATAGGGAGAATAGCTACTAAGAGCTGAAACTTGATCAATCAATTTCTCTCTCTCTCTTTCTTTTCTTTAATTCACTGCTGGCAAACCATGGATTCATACATGCTAGGCAAGCAATCCACCCATTGAGCTACATTCCCAGCTTTTAATTTTTATTGTTTTTTACTTGTTCTTTTTAGTTGTACGTGATAGTAAAATCTATTTACATATGTTATATAAGCATGTAATATATCTTATTGTAGTTAGGATCCCAGTCTTGTGGATGTACACAATGTTGAGATTCACTGTGGTGTATTCATATATGTGCACAGGAAAGTTATGTCCAATTCATTCCACTGTCTCTCTTATTTTTATCCCCTCTTTTTCCCCTTCATTCTCCTTTGTTTAATCCACTGAACTTCTCTTCTTCCTCTCCCACCTTGTTGTAGGTTAGCATCCACATATTAGAGAGAGCATTCGTCCTTACTTAGGTTTGTTGGAATTGGCTTATTTCACTTAGCATGATAGTCTCTAGTTATGTCCATTTACTGGCAAAGTCATAATTTCATTCTTCTTTGTGGCTAAGTAATATTCCATTGTTTACACATTCCACAACTTCTTTATCCATTCATCTGTTGAGGGGCATCTATAGCTTAGCTACTGTGAATTGAGGTACTGTCAACATTGATGTGGCCTCATCACTGTAGTATGCTGATTTTAATTACTTGGGGTTGCTGACGAGTAGGGTAACTGGGTCAAGTGGTAGTTCCATTCCAAGTTTTCTGAGGAATCTCCATACTGCCTTCCAGAGTGGTTGCACCAATTTGCAGTCCTAACAGCAATGTATGAGTGTACCCTTTCCTCACATCCCTGCCAATTTTTATTGTTACTTGTGTATATATATATATTTTGGGGGGGGGGGTGGTACTGGGGATTGAACCCAGGGGTGCTTAACCATTAATCCACCTCCAGCCTTTTTAAAGTTTTTTATTTAGAGACAGGGTCTCACTGAGTGGCTTAGGGCCTTACTAAGTTGCTGAGGCTGGCTTTGAACTTTCAATTCTCCTGCCTCAGCCTCCCAAGCCCCTGGGATTACAGGCGTGTGCCACCACACTGGGCTCAGTATAGTTTTAATTTGCATTTCTCTAATTGCTATTTGTTGATGTTTCATATTTCTTCTTCTGTGAAGTGCCTGTTCAGTTCCTATGCCCATTTATTGATTGGGCTATTTTTTTTTTTTTTTTTTGTCAAGCTTTTTGAGTTCTTTGTATATTCTGAAAATTAATGCCTTATCTGAGGTGTGAGTGGCCAAGATTTTCTCCTATGTTGTAGGCTCTCTCTTCACATTCTTGATTGTTTCCTTTGCTATGGAAAAGCTTTTTAGTTTGATACTATCCCATTTCTTGATTTTTGATTTTACTTCTTGTACATTAGGTGTCTTATTGAGGAATTCAGTTCTAGGCTAGCATGGTAGAGAGTTGGACCTACTTTTTCTTCTAGTAGGTGCAGGATTCCTGGTCTAATGCCTAGGTCTTTAATCCACTTTTGACTTGAGTTTTGTGTGGGATGTGAGATAGGGGTTAAATTTCATTCCGCTACATATGGATTTCCAGTTTTCCCAGCACCATTTGTTGAAGAGGCTATCTTTTTCGAATATATATGTATGATACCTTTGTATCTCATACATACCCTATGTATGAGATAACTATATGTGTGTTTGTCTTTGTGTCTTCTATTCTGGATCATTGGTCTTCACTGGTGCCAAGACCATGCCGGTTTTGTTTCTATAGTTCTGTAGTGTAATTTAAGGTCTGGTACTGTGATGCTTCCTGCTTCATTTTTCTCGCTAAGGATTGCTTTGGCTATCTTGAGCCTCTTATTTTTCCAAATGAATTTCATGACTTTGTTTTCTATTTCTGTGAAGAATGTCGTCGGAACCTCAATAGGAATTGCATTAAATTGGTATAGTGCTTTTGGGAGGTATGCCCATTTTGACAATATTAATTCTGCCTATACAAGAACATGGAAGATCTTTCTGTTTTCAAAGGTCTTCTTCAATTTCTTTCTTTAGTGTTCTGTAGTTTTCATTGAAGAGGTCTTTTACCTATTTTGTTAGATTGATTCCCAAATATTTTATTTTTTTGAGGCTTTTGTGAATGGGACAGTTTTCCTAATTTCTCTTTCAGCTAATTCATCACTGATGTCTAGGAACACAATTGATCTATGGGTACTAATTTTGTATCTTGCTACTTAACTGAATTCATTTATGAATTCTAGAAGTTTTCAGCTGGAGGTTTTTGATTATTCTAAATAAAGGATCATGTCATCAACAAATAGGGAGAGTTTGAGTTCTTCTTTTCCTATTTGTATCCCTTTAATTTCTTCTTTCTAATAGCTCTGGCTAGAGTTTCAAGGCCTGTATTAAATGGAAGTGGTGAAAGAAGTCATCCTTGTTACAGTTTTTAGAGGGAATGCTTTCAATTTTTCTCCATTTAGAATGATATTGGCCTTGGGTTTAATATATATAGCTTTTCCAGTGTTGAGGTATGTTCCTACTATCTCTTATTATTTTTCCTAGTGTTTTGAACATGAATGGATGCTGTATTTTTGAGCAAATGTTTTTTTCTGCATCTATTGAGATAATCATGCAATTCTTGGCTTTAAGTCTATTGATGTGATGAATTATTACGTTTATTGATTTTCATGTGTTGAACCAACCTTGCATCCCTGGGCTGAACCCACTTGATCATGGTGCACTATCTTTTTAACATGTTTTTGTATGGAATTTGCTCTATTAAGAATTTTTGCATCTATGTTCATCCATTATATTGGTCTGAAGTTTTCTTTCCTTGATATCTTTGTCTACTTTTGGTATCAGGATGACTAGCTTCATAGAATGAATTTGGAAGGGTTCACTCCTTTTCTATTTCATGGAATAATTTGAGAAGGATTGGTGTTAATTCTTCTTTGAAGGTCTGGTAGAAGTCTGCTGAGAATCCATCCAGTCCTGAGTCTTTCTTTGTTAGTAGGCTTTTAAGCAATGAAATTGCTTTAAATCAATCTGTTTAAATTTTCTATGTCCTCCAGATTCAATTTGAGTAGGTCATATGTCTCTAGAAATTTATTAATTTCTTCAGGATTTTCTAATTTATTGGATTATAGATTTTCAAAATAATTTCTGATTATCTATTTTAGTAGTGTCTATGGTGATATTTTCTTTTTCATCACGAATTTAATAATTTCAGCTTTTTCCCTCTTTCTTTTGGGTAGCTTGGCTAAGGATTTATCAGTTTTGTTTATTTTCAAAGAACCAGTGTTTTGTTGCTTTTTTTTTTTTTAATTTCAATTTCATTGATGTCAGATCTGATTTTAATTATTTCCTGTCTCCTAATGATTTTGGTGTTGATTTGTTCTTTTTTTTCCCCCCTAAGGCCTTGAGATGTAATGTTAGATTATTTATTTGGTATCTTTTTGTTCTTTTAATGAATGAGCTCAATGGTATCAACTGTTTTCTTAGAACTTCCTTCATAGTGTCCCAAAGATTTTGATATGTTGTATCACTATTCTCACTTACTTCTATTTTTTTATTTAACCCCTGGTTTCTTCTGAATATTTATTATTCAGTACTATGTTATTAAGTCTCCAGGTGTTAGAGTAGCTTCTATTTTTTTCCTTTTGTTTTTAATATATTAAAAAGCAACATAGTACAAATGGTGTGGTATTAAAAAGGATTCAAATTTTTCAGGAATGAATTTTTATAAACAATTCTGCAATGAAAGGGAAACAGCATCTTGATACATAAAAGGTTGTTTAAACAATTTGATTTAAAAAATTTAAAACCAGAAAATGTTAACATTATATCCTTTTCCAATATTCAAACAAAAAAAGAGCAACCTGTACAATCTCCTTGATAATAAAATGTGTCTTTGTATTCACATCCTGGGCACATTGAAAATGTTAAAATTTCTAAAGTCTGAGTGACAGATGCAACACTTAAAGGCTTTTTGAATTTTTCCCCCAAAGGGAGTATTTTCAGTAAAACATTTTTCCATTTTATCTGACTATGCACTGATATTTTTTGTTCTTCCTGAAAAAGATTTATACTAACACTGTAATTTTTAATGTAAAAATATACATGTAAAGATATTTCATCTCCTGAGACCAGTCATACAACATGATTGAATGAACAAATTCTATAATTTTAGACTGAAATAGTATATGTACATTTATATGTTCAATTGGGGTAAAACTCAAAAGAGCATGTCATAGAATTTACACTTAAATTCTCTCAGTTATGCAATATGATTTATCTCCAAACTTAACCCAATAATCGTTCTCAAATAAAATGTATCACTGAAAAGTTTTTTCTAATTTATTAACAAAATACAGATAGCCTTTGCAGACTATCAAGTTGGATGTTGTTATATACACCAAAATCTGATTTACTAACAAATTGCAATACAAAAGGATAACAGATAATTAAAATATTTGCTTTATAATACAACCACTCTATACAATTCACCCTTCCTAAACTACCTAAAATGATTAGGAATTGTGGCACTTTCTTTTGCATAAAATCCTTTCCTCTTCATAAAGCCCTGAGGTGAAAGGTTATTAATGTAATAAAATTGAAACCACAATTCTTCTCATTTCTGTATTAAACTGTATCTCTAGGTTTTAAAAAACTTATATAAAGAAATGTGGCAACTTGTAAAGCTGCTTTATAGTTTTTCAAAATATTTCCATACCAACTTAGTCAAACAGGCCTAAAATGATCCCATGAAACAATGTCCGTTTACTAACAGTTAGTGTCGAGAGGAGCGCCATTTTCCATCCCTACAGCTGTCTCTTCTGTTATACTCATGGCTCCAGCCATCATGATTCCTATCTTCATAGAAGAAATCATCTCTGTTTCCTCTGTAATGATGATCAGATCCATGATCGGTGTAACGCTGTTCGAGGCTATAATGTCTATCTGAAAGGTAGGGATGAGAATTCTGTCTGACTTTACGCTGTGATGATGATGCATCTTAGAGCCACTGGGAGCTTGAAGACTGGTTGAAAGTATGATTATGTGACTGAACTGATGGTTAAATCCTGACTGATCCACATGTGAAGACCCAAATTTCCCAACATATGACATCTGTCTCAAAACACTGTTCATCACTGCTTGTCTCTGATAATTTTCTGGAGAAGAAAATGATCTCTGTATTACTTGTGCCGATGCTGTCACATTATCCACAGTCCTTTCATACCTGCTAGGAGATGTAGAAGTAGGACTTGAATTTCCAACATGATGCTGGGAATATGACAAACTGACAACCTGTGAGGCATGACTACTTCCTGATCTAAATTGAATTTTGATGGGCCTTCCAAAAAGTTTGATTCCATTAAGAAGATTCATAGCATAAGGAACCAGATACTTCATGTTTGAAATTCACAAATGCAAACTGCTTTGGTTTACCATCCTTATCTTTTGGAATTTTCACCTTTATTACTGGCCCATCCTGGTGGAAAAGCTTGAAAAGTAGTTCCTCTGTCACTTTAGTTTCAAGGTTGCCGACAGAGAGTGTGGTCCGCCTCTGCTGCCGCTGCCCCTTCTCAACCTATTTTTTTTATCTTATCATTGATTTCCAATTTCATAATGGAGTTATGATCTGATAAAATACAAGGTATTTATATATTTTTTGTATTTGTTAAAAGTTGCTTTGTGGCCTAAGATATGGTTTATTTTAGAGAAGGATGCATGTGTTGCTGAGAAGAAAGTATATTTAGTCATTTTTTGGATGAAATAGTCCATATAGGTCTGTTAAGTCTAAATTATTAATTGTATTTTGCTTCTTTATTTTTGATTTGGAAAATCTATCTGATCATGAAAGAGGCATGTTAAAGTTAGCCAATATTATTGGGCTGTGGTATATTTGATTCTTTGTTTTTGTAGTGGGGATTGAACTCAGGGACACTCAATCACTGAGCCACATCCCCAGCCCTATTTTGTATTTTATTTAGAGACAGGGTCTCACTGAGTTGCTTAGCATCTCACTGTTGCTGGGACTGGCTTTGAACTTGTGATCCTTCTGTCTCAGCCTCCTAAGCTGCTGGATTCACAGGCATGCACCATCTGTTTTTGATATACATACATACTCCATTGTTTGGGGCATAAATAATTCCTTTTTTTTCAAATATTCAGGGAACTTTATTTTTAAACGATAAATCAAATAGACACAGCTTTCATTTACCCAAACATGCATAATCCAACCTGAATATAAAACGCACTCAATTGATAAATTACACATGAAATACAAAGGGAATGCAATTTTACATACGTGAAATGATTGCCAGCTATAGCAACTTGACAAATTAAAAATATTGTACATTAAAAAACAAAAACAAAAACCACCTTAAAGCCAATTATCTATAGTAAACCAAGGGCAAGTTTGATACGGAATGATTTGATTCAAGCAAAGAGTAAGGCAACTGATATGAATTTAGAGCAATAACTTTCATTTTTAAAGTTACAATAAAATAGAATTAGGTAACCAAGACTTGTTTCAAAGAGGAAAACAAGTATAGGGATTGATTTACTGGGTGAGAAAGGCAGGTAAAGTTCAGCTAAAAACCTGCTGGCCCAAGGTTGGCCAATTCCTCTTCTAGGGGAGCAGTTAAGTTCCTAGATGCCCTTAACCACTCCTCCCCTTGACTCTCCTCCTTCCACGAGGGTATGTTGGGAGTCCCCTATGAGGTTCGCACTGTGTATATATTAGGTAGCAGATTTCCCTTCTGTTCCTCTTAAAACAGCTTATTTTAAAAGAGATATCCTGAGGCGATTAACAAAGCAAACATAAGCAGCCTTCTACCAATTCATTAGTACACACATGCTGCTCAGGCTTTTTGCACCAAGTTATGGCTAAGTAGAGCCAACACTTGCAGTTTTCAACAGTACTAGAAAACACAGAATCTGCCTTATCACCCTCACCCTTACTATTAATAAGAAGAAAATCTGATCAGTCATGACCTATAAATCATATAAGGGAAGAGTGAAGACTGATCCTTATCAGTAAACCCATTTAATTTCAAATGCCGGGAGATTCGGGCTGACTGATCCGAGTGGCCTGCCCCGCGGCTACAGACGGCGGGGCACCACGGAGAAGCGACCAGCAAGCAGGGAGAAACGTTGCTGCGGATTCTGTGGAATCCTTCCGGCTGAGCCCCCACTGAGCCCCGGGCTGAGTTCAGGATTTCAGACGGGGAAGGAAGCCGTACAGTTCTATCCCGCACAACGGAAACTCCACCAAGGAAACCAGCGGCCACCATCTTGGAGAGATGAAGTAACCAACGCCACTCTCTGACAGATTGCAACAATAAAACAGGTGTGTGTTACTCAGCTCAGCTCCCATACAGTGGGGAATTCACATAAAATCTCTCCTAGGCTTTCCGGGGGAGGGATTATCAGAGCGAGCCTGCATAAAGACAAGGGGAAAACTAGAGACACCTGACCTTCAACTCCCCCTCCCATCAGCGGTGAAAACGAAACCTGTCTAGCCAGCCCTGGGGGAGGGGCTAAGTGGAAAAAATCAAAACAATAGAGTGCCCGGGTTCCCAATAGACACCCTCCACAACTAACAAACGGCAGGCCCAGAGTTTGAACTGCCAAGAGGCATCACTCAGGAGAAATCTGGTCTAGCAGGAGAAACCAGGACTAGCAGGAGAAACCAGGGGACTAGAGGCCAGGCCCTCGCGACTGGGCGGCTGGAGTCCGCCCCCCCCCCCCCCCCCCCCCCCCCC